ATTATTTTATTTAATTTAATTATTTAATTTATAGTTGAAATTATCTGTTACTGTGGGATCCACACCAATTTAAATAGACATTTTGGGCAGGAGGTTTTCCAAACATCTATTAGTAGTTTAAGTGACCTTTCTGCATCTGACTCCCAACAGGAAGCTGGGTGATGGACTGTTTGCACACTGGAAAAATCTTTCCACTACTCTCTAAGATTTTAATTATACTATGAAGCATTTACATGTCTGCATAAAATACATGTCTCAGAAGAAAATTCACCCTGCAGCCAAATATTTAGAAACAAAGACATTAGGCTTATTTTGGAAACACATAGATAAGTTATTACCACAAACAACATTTAGAAAATTGGAGTTCTGAAATAACACAAATAGCGTCAAAAGAAGTCCACCTATCTGTAATATATTCAAATACAGGAATTTCAAATTTTGTTGCTGTTTTGCTTTTTCTTCTTTATTCCACTGGGAAGTTGTTAACATGAACATAAGTTCATCTTTATTTATCATGTATTACCCTAAGCAGCTCATGTGTTTGTCCTAAAATTCACAGTAAGAAACAGACCAATATATCAAAAAACAACAACAGGGCATATCCATAGGGTAAGGTTTCCATACTTCATATCCTGTTGCTGTTCTCTTAAGGGTGACACTAAAAGGGATTTATTACTAAATTGCTTTTCAGTTTTTTAAATAATGTAGACTTCTCTGTGTCCTGGGGAACACTTGATCAGGACTCAGGCAAAACCATTCTCTGCTGCTTGCAAGAAATGACTCATATTAAAACATACGGACAATTAATATCGCAAACGGAAAACTGAGGAAGTAATCTATGTACCTAAATTACCACATCCTCACATATAATGCAAACTTACAAATGAGATTTAAAAATTATAACGTGTGAAAGTGGAAGGTAATACTTTCCAACTGAATTTGTGAATAAATCAATTCACATTTAAATTTTATTATAGCTTTCTCTCCCTATTTGATAAATCTGTTAAGTCAAATGAGGGGCAAAAATTATCAGCTTTTCACATTTTACGGATACTTAAAAAGAAACACTGTAAGAAAAGGCAGAATTCTCAGCCTGATGACACATTCTAGGGGCCGCACGCTACTTAAAATACTTTTGGATTTTCCAAAGGTTATAAATAATTTTCTGGCAAAATACCTTTCAGGCAATTCAAGACAATTTGCTCCTAAATCTTACTCTTGTGAATGAAAACAGAACTGATACCTGAACTAATGGTGACCGCCTACACATAAGTGACCACACTTTACTCCACTTATACTGCATGAACAAAACAGAATTGTTAAGAATAACGTATCTGAGTTATTTTAAAAGCTGCATTTCTCAGGGTTAGGACAATTAATTACAAGTATTACTGAGTGGGATGAAGTATTTAAAACATGAACATATGAATGAAGTGGGAACTAACAATCTTCAATTAGCTGCTCCAAAATGCTTGCCAAAATGAAAGAAACTTTGCATATAAAATGGCATTTTAATTTAGAGATGTAAAAGTGCAGCATATGAAGAAGAAACGCATTGTGCTTAGATAAAATAAGTATAAAGTAAGAATGGAAAAGTAATATTACCCCAGAAGAGCATATTAAGGAGTTCACTGCCAGAACACAGACTCAGTTCTGGCATTCTCACTTATGGGCACATGCTTAAAACACACCAAAAGTGCTCCTACCTCTCCTTTCTAATCCCTGCCCTTGCCCCCACCCTCCCTCCCCAACTGAAAAAAAAAAAAGGCGCAAAGAACTGTTCAAGACCTGGAAAAATATACCTTTAAATGTGAGTGCAAGGAAGCAAGAACATATGTCTATGTATCCACGAATCAGCTATGAGTAGTGGCTGTTAAATTTTTTCCAGTGGTACACTTTCCCTTGGAAAAATGCTGACTTGATAGAATCCTTACCGTGCAGCAGAAATGTCCCAAAACCCTGGATGGAAAACAGACAACCTGGCTAACCAGCTGGACTTCCTGCCAGAGCACAGGAAATGTTGTATATCTAACTTCTTTCTGATTTGGAAATAGGGGGAGGACATCAGAAGCTAAGAATTTACTGAGAACAGATGGTCACTGGAAAATGCATTATAATATTTAATGCATGTAAGGTGACACTAGACACACACAGCCAAAAAAAGATTTACATTATCAACTGTGAAAGTAATCACTTTTTGGCACAACTACTCTGATGAATTCTCCATCCCTTTAAGTCAGTTCTGCATAACCTTCTAAAAACGTGAGATAGTTAACCAGTTACTAGTTTCTTGGAGAAAATACAGTGTTAAGTTGTTCTAGGTAATGGTCTTCAATCTCCCTATAAACATACAGCACTCTGCACCACCCCTACTCCCATTTTTATCAGGCAAAGTATGAAAATGTGAATGCCCCAGACTGCAGCAAGCTTAAGTTTGGATCCACAGCTCATTCTCACTTACATCTCAATAACAGTCTGAACTCAAACTGAATAAAACTAAATATGGATCTCATTCACTTCTATCCATCTTCTCCTTTCCCAATACCTTTAGCAAAGCTGCAACAGCCTCCTGGTTAGCATTTCGAACATCTTCTCCATTCACTGTCAATATCTGGTCTCCTTGCATCAATCTCCCGTCTGTATCTGCTATTCCTCCTTTCACGATGTCTGACACAAACACCCCTGTGTCATTTCTGCAAATACACACATGGATTTGTGTTACAGTATTGTCTGAGGGCCATTTTTATGGCTTGCTGTGGGGAACACAATGAACATTTCCTCATTTTTCTGTTGAGTAACATTGGGCTAGTTTCTCTAGGAAGGGCCAATTAGCTTAGGCATAGAAAAGGCACGTATGGCCTTCAAGCCCACAGGATCTGAGTGCCAGATCCCAACAGAAACATGAGCATGCCCAGCAAGTCCCACACATTGACTCTCCAGGTACATTCACACCTTTTCCCAACAATACTCAGCCCAAGGCCTTTGCCAGGCTTCTTTTGGAGCTCTATATTGAGTACATCATACATATCTTCCTCCTTGTACTGGGCCTCATCTCTGTACACAGTCAGACGAACTTTCTGGGGAGTCTGTCGGAGCACATTTATTGCTCCATCGTGTGTGGCATTACTGAGGACAATCACGTTCACCTGCAATGAGGGCACACAATGACAAAGTGTGCAGGACTTTCCAGCAGATAAATAGAAAATGCCTAGCTAGCAAATTACAATGAGAGAGACCTAAGAAACAACCACACCTCTAATATCTGATCCCCGGCCCACAGTCTCCCATCTTTAGATGCTGCTCCTTCTTCATATACTTCATGGATAATGATTGCTCCCTGTGGATACAACAAACAAAAATAAACTGCATGCTGAAAGAACATGCCCCTACTTAAAAACAAGAGCAACTGAAAATTCCTATTATAATTCACCAGTGATAGACAAAACAGTCAGATGTGTGATGAATAAATTAGCAAAATATTTAAGAAGTTCATTTATACTTTAAATTTTAAAAGTGTCTTTTTCTGGTTTGTTTTTTTCTTTTCCTGAACTGGTATCTTTGGTATCTTTCTGTAAATGCTACAGGAACATACGAAGAAAAAAATCTATTATATCAGACATTTTAATTTCACTATTGCTATTTCACTTGAGTGACACACATATTTTTCCAACCAACCAGCAAAGTGTCTGCTCCTCCAACGATGCTCAGACCAAGACCAGTCCGCCCTTTGGAGATATCAATGGTTGTTTCACAACCAGGAATGATGGGACAAGTAGCTGGATCAGAGGCTAACGTGGCTGGAGTCGAAGATCTGCTTGTATCTGAAACAATAATTAAACATCCTGGTTACAGTAAGAGGGCTCTGTATTACAAAAGTGACTTTAAAACTTAGAAAGAACAGGCAGGGAAGAAGGGGAGGGGGTGTTGCCCTCTATCACTAACTAGCTGGAGTGCATGGAGCTCTGCCTGGGGATGGATGAGGAGCTGACCAAGAGCTTATGGGTCAGGATTAAAGGGAGGGCAGGGACAGGGGACATTATAGTGGGGGTCTGCTATAGGCCACGTGACCACGAAGACCAAGTGGATGAGGCCCTCTATAGACAGATGGGAGCAGCCTCACACTGACAAGCCCTGGTCCTCATGGGGCACTTCAACCATCCTGGCATCTGTTGGAGGGACAACACAGCACAGTGTAAGCAAGGCAGGAGGTCCCTGGAGTGTGTGGATGGTAACTTCCTTCTCCAAGTGACAGAGGAGCCAACAAGGAGAGGTGCTAGGCTGGACCTTGTTCTTACCAACAAGGAAGGGATGGTGAAGAATGTGAAACTCTTGGGCTATCTGGGCTGCAGTGACCATAAAATGGTGGATTTCAAGATCCTTAGGGTAGCGAGGAGGGTGCACAGCAAACTCACTAGACTTCAGGAGACCAGACTTCGGCCCCTTCAGGGATCAGTTTGGTAGAGTGACCTGGGATAAAGCCCTGGAGGGAAAAGGGGCCCAGGAAAGCTGGTTAATGTTCAAGGATCACCTCCTCCACGCTCAGGAGTGATGCATTCCAACAAAGAGGGAGTCAGGCAAAAATGCCAGGAGGCCTGCATGGATGAACAAGGAGCTCCTGGACAAACTCAAACACAAAAAGGCAGCCCACAGAGGGTGGAAGCAAGGACAGGTAGCCTGGGAGGAACACAGAGAAATTGTCTAAACAGCCAGAGATCAGGTTAGGAAAGCTAAAGCCCTGATAGAATTAAATCTGGCCAGGGACATCAAGGGCAATAAGAAAATCTTCTACAAGTACGTCGGTGATAAAACGAAAACTAGGGAAAATGTGGGCGCTCTCCTGAAGGAAACAGGAGACCTGGCTACCCAGGATATGGAGAAGGCTGAGGTACTCAATGGGTTTTTTGCCTCAGTCTTCACCAGCAAGTGCTCAAACCTCACCGCTCAAGTTGCAGAAGGCAAAGGAAGGGACTAGAAGAATGAAGAACTTCCCACTGCAGAAGATCAGGTTCAAGACCATCTAAGGAAACCTGAAGGTGCACAAGTCTATGGGACCTGATGAGATGCATCTGCGGGTCCTGAGGGAACTGGCGGATGAAGTTGCTAAGCCACTCTCCATCCTTTT